TTCTCAATTTACAATTCACATCAGCTAGTTTATGTGATCTCACAAATAATTCTGCCTTTGCTGTCATAGTTACCTTGTGACTGTTGGAACCCATGTGTTTTGTAGCATTAGTACACTGGGAAGTTCTTTCTAGTGGTGTGCAGGAAATCTTGAAGATCATGATCCCAAGTGGGTTTCTCTCTACAATAACAACAGAGGAGTATAGTTTTTTCCTTTTCCTTTTTATTTGTTGAAGGTAGGAAAACCTCTTGAATGGGCCATGTATTATCTTAAAATGTAAACAGATCTGATACTAGTTAGTTTGAAAAAGCATGTTTAAAATAAGCTTATATTATATAGAAATAGAGCAGTTTTTAGTTTTATGAAAATTTGTGGTAGTTTTAAAAGAAGCTTAGGGGCCAAGGAGATAGCTCAGTGTAATAAGTGTTTGCCTGGCAAGCACAGGGTCCTGAGTACAATCCCAGGTACTGGAAAAAAAAAAAAAAAAAAGACCTCAGTAACAAATAAAATTGCAGTTACATTTTTCTGCTGGTTTTCTGTGTTACACTGGTAGAAATTTTTGTGATACTTAAAAAAAAAAACCCATAAATATAGGAAGTAAAGCCATGTTGTTATGTTGAGCTGTGGGGGACTCAGGTCAATAATTTCTGACATTGCCAGTTAAACAGAAGACCCAATGCTATTATGGGCTACTGGACTCTTTTAGAATATTTTGCTGAGTTTACACACCTATACTGTTCAATAATGGAACTTAGAAAAAATGGGGTATACAGATGAGTGTCCATTTTGTATCTGTGTATTCAAAGTGGTTATGATAGGTATATAGTTGCATTCTCTTAATGAATAGAATGATTTGTTCTAATGGTGTTTGTAAACAGGATCTCAAGTCCGCATCTTGTACAGCAATTAACCACTAAGAAGAATATATGCAGTGTATTATTTGTTGAAACTATACTTCCGATTTGATGTGAAACTGTCTCATTGCTATCTGTTTATCAATAAAATTTTGAAAAATAATTTAAAAAAACATGGTAAATGTTTTTATTGTTAGCAGAATTGGTATCAAGATTAAGAAAATAGGGCCGGCCAAATAGCTCAGCGGATTAAAGCATTTGCTTAGGCAGATGCAGGGGCGGGGAGTTCAATCCCTAGGCCTGCTGTGCGGGCCCTGCCCCTGGGGTACACTGAGACAGGGATTGAAACTGGCGTGGTGATGCACGCCTGTAATCCTAGCACTTGGGAGGCTGTAAACAGGAGGATCACAATGAGTCTGATCTATGCAGTGAGATCCTGTTATACCCTATACACCCTGTCCTAAATACAAAAAAAAAAAGATTAAGAAAACGTTATTTTCATATTAATCAAGCAGAGTTTGTATAAAAATTAAAACATTATTTTCTTTTAAAAATATATACCTGATTTACTTGTTTGTTTTTGAAGGAAAATCTTTAGGCTTTATTCTGGTAAAGAATCTGAGACTGAGAAGGGCTTACTCAGAAAGACAGAAGTGCTTTGCTATTGATCATGAGCCTCCCTCCCTCCCTTCTTTCCTTCCTTCTGATGTTCTAATGGTGAAGCTGATGTTGTGGCTGTGTTTTTTGGCACTTGTTTTTCCAGAAGATACATTTATGCTATTCATTTTGGTTACTTCCACCTTTTTCTTATTATGACTGGAAGTGTGCCAATCAGGCTGAGTCTATGCATGTGAAGCAAACAACACTAAGTGGTGGATCAAATCCATAGCTTTTGACATCATTAGCATCATGTTCTAATCAACTGAATTAGAGAATGAAAGAAATACTGTACCTTGATGAGCAAGGCCTTTGTGATTTTAAAGTGATAAGAGAATCTGGTATGCATAGAAAAATATTTGAAATGTGTAATAATCTAAAATAGTGGCTAAAGACTTCGTATTCTGCAACATAATTACTGCTTCTTTTTAGAAAATCTTTTATTTATTGCTTATTTGGTACAGGGTCTTATTATGCAGCTCCAACTCGTAGTGATCCTCCTGTTTCTGTCTCTCCACCACTGGAATTACAGACATATGCTACCATGTATGGTTTTAGTGGCACGCTCGTGCCCGGAGCCATCAGGGCATGTGGTATCTGGGATGGAACTTGGGTTCTTGGGCTTGCCAGGCAGGTGCTTAGACCACTGAGCTATCTCCACAGCCAAAGACATGTTTGTTGTTGTGTTTAATTATTTATTTGTTTATTTATTTGGTACAGGGTCTCGCTACACAGCTTCGAGTTGTAGTGCTTCTCCTGTCTCAGTCTCTCCAGCACTGGATCACCAGTGTTTATCACCATGGTTGGCTTTGGGGCCAGCACAGAATGCGGTCCCAGGGATCGAACCTGGTCCTTGCACTTGCCAAGCAGGCACTTAGACTACCAAGCTATCTCCTCAATTGTTGCTTCTAATTTCCATAGCATTAGAAAGATTTCTTTTTTATGATGTTTATAGGATAATTTTTTTTGGTACTAGGGTTTAAACTCAGGGCCTCACACATGGCAGGAAGAGCTTTACTGTTGAGCTATATTGTAAAATTTTATTTTGAGGCCTAGTTTTGGTAAGTTTCCTAAATGACTTTTTTTTTAAGGGTAGGGTCTACAGTGTGTTCAGGGTCTCAGTATTAGATCAGACTCATAGTGATCCTCCTGTTTACAGCCTTCCAAGAGCTGGGATTACAGGTGTGTGCCACCATGTCCAGTCTCAATTGCTGTCTCAGCATGCCCTGGGGGGCAGGGCCAGAACAGCAGGCCTGGGGATTGAACCCTGGCTCCTGCACCTGCTTGTGGGCACTTTAATCCTCTTAGCTATTTGGCTATTTTTTTTTTCAATGACTTTGAACCTAGTATCCTCCTGCCTCAGTCTCCTGAGTAGCTAGTATTGAAGGCATGAACTACTATACCCCACCATGATAACTTTTAAATAAGAAAAGGTTAAGTTTTAAATTGTGGATAATTCAAAGTTAGATTATTCAATAAATTATGAGTTAAGAAAAAATTTCAACAAGAATTAACTAGATAGTGAGCTACTTTGACTAGACATATCAAGACAACAGTAAAAGAAAATGAAAAAGATGGGTGAGACTTTACCTTACCATAAAATTATATTTGTTCAGGGACTCTTGGCTGTGAAAAGAACTATAGTATATAGTACATTTCTTTATATAATTTATTTAACTTGTGTTTTCCTCATCTGGGTGATTAGAATAATAGAATGTGCCCAGTAGGATTATTATAAGGATTAATGAAAAGGATGGATATTGACACAGTATAAGAAATAGATAAATACATGTTAAAGATGTGAGATGGGAGTGATAACTACTAACTACACTGGCAAGGATGCTTTTTAAAACGTATTTTATTTAGTGTGTATTGATTTTACAAAATATTGGAATTCAATATGGTATTCTCATATATGCATTTACAACATATTTTGATCATATCCATCCCCAATTGCTTTCTCTTACACCACCCTTATTTTATTTATTTATTTATTTATTTATTTGTACCAGAATTAAACTAAGGACCTTGTGCTTGCCAGGCAGATGCTTAAGCCACTGAGCTGTCTCCTGGCCCAATAATCTCCTTTCTACTTTCATACCACTTTTTAAAAAATCCCAATAGGGTTGGGATTAAAAGCTCAGTGGTCTGAGTGCCTCCCTGGCAAGTACAAAGACCTAGGTTTGCCTCCTAGGTACAATGTACTGAACTGGCCCTGGAGCCCCAGGTGCACTGTACTGGCCACTGAAACTACGTGTGGTGGTGCACACCTGTAATCCCAGAGTTGGGGAGGCTAAGACAGGAGGATCACTGAAAGTCTGAGCTGCATAGTGATACCCTGTACCAAATAAGTAAATGAATAAATAAATAAAAGATTTTAAAAAATTTTTAAATCACGATAGGGAAAACACTTCATATTTGTCTTCCTTATTCTAGCTTATTTCAAATTCAACTCAGTGATCTCCAGTCCTATTGCTTAACATGGTAAACTCCAGTTTCATTCATTTTCCTGCAAATGCCAAAAGTTTTGTTCTTGATGGCTAAATAATACTCCATTGTATTTATGTAGCACCACATTTTCTTTATTCATTCTTTTGTTAATGGGCACCTACAGTGGTTCTATATCTTGATTACTTTTGAGTTGTGCTGCTATAAACATGGATGTGCAGGTAACCCTATGACAGTACTGGTGAACTTATGGCATGCATGCTGCAGCAGGCTATTTGTTATCACTGAAAGCTCTAAAAGGTTCACCATCATTGCCCTATAATATACTGACCTTTACGTATATACCAAAGGATGGTGTAGTTGGGTCAAATGGTATTTCTAGTTTTAGTTGTCAAGGAACCTCCATACTGATTTCTATAGGAGGTATACTAATTTATATTTCTACTAGCAGTGTAGAAGATTCCCTTTTATAAGGTTGCTCTTTTTTGAGGGGCAAACTGTTTACCTTCACAGATGTTCATAGTCCTGATCCTTTGTAATGCTCCAAGGTCTTAATGTACCAAGTCCACACATAAGTTAATTTTATCATTTCTGCCAGGCCACTTCACATCTAGCTAGGAGGGAGGGATAGAAATTTATTGGTAGAAAAAGTGTTAAAATTACAGATTTTGATGAATTATCTTCTTCTGTTTTCCCAGATAATTCACTTTACTTTGGTTCCTTTAATATGTTCTAGCTTCTTCTAAAAATTTTTTTTTGTGGAACCAGAGATTAAACTCAGGCCCTTGTGCCAGGGAAGTGCTTATTCCACTGAGCCATGTCCCCAGTCCCTCTTCTAATTTTTAAATAATTATTCACTACCAGTTTGTGTCTTGAGATCTTTTTTTAAAAATTCTCACCATGTACCTTTTTTTTTTTGAATAGTTATAAGAATGAATTAAGAAAGAAGGCTAATCAGGATAAACTGAGTGGCCAACTCAGTTTCATGGAATATAGTTTCTCTTTTCATGTAATGATGATATGGTGATTTTTTAAAATTAGGACTGAACTACAGCTGTAGAACCGAGTGACCTTTTGAAGATGTAAATTGGGCTGTATAAATGCTTGGGGAAATGGGAGAAAACAATGAAGTAAAGGAAAAGTATATTTTCCAGGTAAGTAATGTGATTCTGAATTTTAACTAAATTATAGCTGCATCATTTGTGGTAACTTTATGATGCTAAGTTGTGATGGCTATTATTTAGTCTTTATGTTGCTTTAAAATAATTTTTACTTTCTCTTCAGTTTTTATTGCTCAACTCTGTGATATAATTATTTTTTGATTAATCTAAAAATCTATGCTGAAGATGTAGTTAGATGATTTCTTAAGTCATTTGATAGGAATCTACTGTACCTTAGGTTGACCATTGGGTATTGTCAAAGCAGAGTTGTGTGTGTGTTTCTGATGTGTAGGTTTAGTATCAGCTTTTGGTCTGAGTGCAAAGCATATACATTGAAAACAAGTATTAATACCATTTACCCAAGTCATATTCTCTAGTTACAATATGTGTAGTATTTTTGGAATAGGAAACATATAATTTAATATAGAAGATAAAGCAGATTAGCAGTTCTTCTAGATAGATACAATAGAGTTCGCTTGATGAGATAGATATACCATGGTAATACTTGGTACGTGTGTGTGTGTGTGTGTGTGTGTGTGTGTGTGTGTGTGTGTAGTACTGAGGCTTGAACTCAAGGCCTTTGTATTGAGCTACATTTCCAGCCATTTTTATTTTATTTATGTAAGTATGTAAGTATGTATGTATGTATGTATGTATGTATTTGGCAGAACCGGGGATTTGAACTCAGGCCCTTGCGCTTGCCAGGGAAGCGTTTATTCCACTGAGCCATCTCCCCAGCCCTTTTATTTTTTGTAAAAATAAACTATAAAAAAGACATTTATAGTCTTCCAAAATGCCTAGGCTAGGCTCAAACTTTCAATCCTCCTGCCTCAGGCTTTCAGAGTATTGGAATTATAGGTGTGTACTATCACATCTGGCCAGTAGTGTTTTGCCAATAATGTAAATATTTGATATTATTTTACATTATAAAGTGAAGAAACTTTCTCTGGTCTTCTGAACAAAAGCTTTTGGAAAGAAAGAGAAGGAAATGAAGGCAAATGGTATAGGAGGCTGGAAGTTAGGTGCTATAGCATCCTTACACAGCTCCATGGTGACATTATTCCTCTATAGCTCCCAGTGAATTTTCCCACAGTAATAATCTCTGGTACTTGCTCCCTGGCTGTGTTGATGGTAAAGTTCTTTCCTGTACTTCAGTCATGGATTGTAGCAGGATTACTCTGGGATATATGATAACTTCCAGCTTGTTGCTTCTTTAAATATTTAAGTTAAATAAAAGTATTCAGTGGCCTTGTGTATTCTAAACTAAAAATGACATAAATACATTTTCTGTTGCTCACCCTTATATGGACTTACCTGTTTCTGTCAGTGCAAAAATGCTTCTAATTCTGTACTTATTCCTTCTGCCTGGAATCCTCTTCTGCTAGAAATCTGCTTGATTCCTATCCTCTTTCTTTGTGTTCCAAAAATTACCTTATCAGTGATGGCTTTCATGAAAATTATACATTATCACACTCTGGAATCACTTCACTTTGCTTTACTTTTTCCACATGAGGTATCAGCATCTGGCTACTGTACATATAGGTGTTTGATTGGCTGCCTGTATACCCTACCTCTACACTCACATACCTTTTCTTCCTGAGCTCTCAGAGGGCAAGAACTTTATCCACAGGATATAAACAGTACTAGACAGAAGATGCCCAGCAAGCATTTGTTGCATGAATGAATGAATGAAGCATATTTGTGTTAGGAGGATGATATAAATTTAAAGATGATGTTATTGGATTGAAAATAGCAGTACAAACACTGTGGAAGAAGTATATTAAATTACATATTAAAGTTTAATAAATTGGTGGGCTTAAAAACCATAGTAAAAAATAAATCTTTGTCATGCACAGTGCTATAATTCTGTGATCCTAGCATTCAGGAGGTTTAGGCTACAGATTTCAAGTTCAAGGCCAGCCTAGGCAACTTAAGTGATAACTTGTCTCAAATAAAATTAAAGAAGGGGAGGTATATATGTAGCTCAGCACTTCCTAGATTCAATCCTCAAAAGAATGGGTGCTTTGATCTAGAATGTGACTTAGAACTACTTTAGGTTTATAACTGGCAGACCAGATATTTAGATGAAAAAGCCAGACATAAAATGTTAAACAGAAATATCAGTAAAAGTTTTTGATGATAAAAGGTTCATGAAACAAGCAAAGAGTTAGAATGATTCAAATGGAGAATGACTTGAAAGAGAACTTCCATGGTCAGGTCAGAGATTACCAGGAGCCCTAGAAATGCCTGTTGTGTTAGGGGTCTGGTAGGATGAGGTTGTTGTGTTCATTTAATGACTGTGAGTTGCCGTGTGTATGTGGGTTCACTCTTACCTATGCAGAACAATATTTTGATTATTTTATATACCATGTTACTTCTAATTCATATTTAAGATCTTTTACAATTAATCTGTCACTTTTAAGGGCCGAGGAGGTAGCTCAGTAGTAGAGCATGTGGCTAGCATATGGGAGGCCCTGGATTTGATTCCCAGCACTGAAAAAAAGCACATACTCTTTGACTCAGAAATTACCTTTGTAGGAATTAATTTCACATATAGTTTTGTACAGGCCGGAAGCTAATCCCATAGCACTTCAGTGTATATTAAATCCTCATGCATTTGGGTAGAGACTCAACAGCACTTGGACAGGGATTCTCATTGCCATCAATCTGTTGTGGCCATGGGTCATATGCTTTTCTGCTGGCTTGGGTATTAACTGCCTGCTCAGTCTAAAACTGAAATGGGGTGGGTACATTTGCCCAGTAGCTAACTATATCTCCAGTTAGGTTTCCTCTTGCACACTCCTGTTTCCTTATGACAGCCTTACTTTTCCCATTTGCAGATACTATCTGCTTATACCTTTGTATTGCATTTATGGCTATTTAAATAGTTAAATATATAATGGATATCTCCACTTGGTTACACATGGAAATCACCTCAGAAACCTTACAAAATATTAATGCCTAATTTCATCTCTAGAGATTGTGAGGCAAATTTTTCTGGGGTGAGTTATGGGTATCACTGTTTTGAAAAGCTTTCTCAAGTGATTTTCATGTATGCTCATGTCTGGGGACCAGGAATACTATTAATTTTTCTAGATTGGTGGTGACTCTAGCCACCTTAAATTCATTATAAACATTTAAATGACTTATTTGGGCTTTATAAGTCTATAGTGGTATTGCATATAAAAATGTCCTATCTCTGCCTTTATATATATCTCTCATTTGTTTTTCTGTTTTAACTATAACTGACAAAATTATGTCACCACGTGACTTCTGGATCTATCTCAAAGTCATTTATCATTAAAGGTAAACATTTTTTAATCAATTTAAGATACCAAGGCAGCCATAATGGTGTGACTAAAGCCATGAAAGAGGACTTCCAGAACTCTTATGAAAATGGTAAAAAAAATGGGATAAGTGTTCAAGTGAGGGTATTATTTTGTGAGAGATCAATGGTAGTATATCTTTTACTGTGATAAACTTTTACAACTTTAAACATTTATCATATTTTTGGTCACATACTTCACATACTGACTTTAACTCCTTTGGATGGTATAGCTAGGTCATGGGGTATTTCGACTTTTGACCTTTTGAGGGACCCCCATTCTGATTTCATTAGGCTCTATTCTAAATGTACATTTACACTGGCAGCCCCCCACTCAGCATTTATCATTTATTATATTTTTGATTATAGTCATTCTGACTGGGATGAGATAGAATCTAAATTTTGTTTTGATTTTCATTTCCCTAATGTCTAAAGAAATTGAACATTTTTTCATATGCATATTGGTCATTTGTACTTATTTTGAGAAGTATCTTTTCAGTTCATTTACCCACTTATTAATTGGGCTGCTTGATATTTTAGTGTTAAGGTTTTTTCCTTATATGTTCTAAATATTAATCCTCTGTCAGAAGAGTAGCTGACAAGGATTTCTTTCATTCTGTAGGTTGATTCTTCACTCTGTCAGTTGTTTCTCTTGCTGTGCAGAAACATTTGTTTGATGTAGTCCCATTTGTTGCTTCTTGCTATTACTTATTGTACTTTTGGAATCCTATTCAGGAAGTGTTTGCCTATGCTTATGGCTTAGTGTCTCCTTTATTTTCTTCTAGCAGTTTCACAGTTAAGTATTATACTTAGGTCTTTGATCTATTTTGAATTGATTTTTGTATAGTGCAAGAGAGGACAACCTCCTTAAAGTGGCTATATTAACCAAAATTGATCTACAGATGCAATGCAAAATTTTTGACAAAATTGAAGTACCTGGCTAGGCCAAAACATTTTTTTTAACTTTTTTTAAAAAATCAAATAAATATTCTCCCATCAAAATTAAAATGACATTCTTCACAAAACAACAACAACAAAAACAAAAACATTCAAAATTCATATGAAAACACAATGGATTCCACCTAGCCAAACCAATCCTAAGCAAAAGATAGAAAGCATCTAGTTTCACTGGCACCGTTTATTAAAGAGGCTGTCTTTTCTCCCATTTTTGTTTCTGGATTGCTTGTCAATCATTTGGTTACACAAATTTGTTTCTATGTCCTTAGTTCAATTCTGTTGGCCTGAGTGCCTATTTTTATGTCTGTACAGTGCTATTTTTGTTACTATTGCTTTGTAGTATAATTTGAAATCATGTATTGTGATGATTTTAGCTTTGTTCCTTTTGCTTAGGATTGACTTATACCAGTCTGCATTCCAACCAACAGTGAAGAAGGGTTCTTTTATCCCCACAGACTCTCCAG